CACGCATTCCGTTTCTTGCGTATATGAACCATTCGGAAAATACACGTTGGGGCATTCTGCCCAAGGCAATTGAGATTGGAAACTTTGTAAAAAGTAGAACAGGCACCAGGCTATGATCGTGTTATAATACAGAGCAACATTGAAGGATACCACAGCACTGCTGATACCAATTCCTTCAAATGAGCAATATTTTCTTTACCAAGACTCTAGACACAACTGATTAAAATTACCTGCTAAAAACGGAGATACTTGATTCCAAACGCCGATAGCACCTTTTCGTAGCCTTTGCCCGATAGCTAGTTCTAAGTAAAAGATGGGTATACCTTCAATTGCCAACATCACAAAGTAGGGAATCAGGAATGCGCCACCTCCATTTTTTTGCGCTAGATATGGAAATCTCCATACGTTTCCCAAACCTACCGCATATCCCACGGTTGCCAGAAGAAATGTTAGCTTGCTGTCCCAAGATTCTCTGTCTTCCTCTTCACAATCAGGCTTAAAAATACCTTTACCATCCTGGAGAATTACATTTTGCTTAAGTGATTTTAATATAACAGTTATGTGAAGAAGTTCTTTGTAGATGAAACTTTAGAAAAGAGGAATACTAAGAACACTTTAATAAAGGCTTGTTGCAAGCAACGTTATGAAACGCACGCAATACAAATAAACGTGTATATCTGCATGAGAAATGAGACCTAACACATATTGCAAGCTCAGGTGAGGAAACAGCAGCCGTCGTATTAAAATCCTTTACTGTGGCCCGAAAATGAGCTGCTAATTTCCAGTTCGTGCTTACCTGCGACCCTCTTTTGCTGCTACACGTCGACTTAATTTTAGTGCCCGGGCTAGTGTCTTCGAAGGCAATATTCGTCGCACCATATGCACTGGAGCTTCCATTTTCAATAGGCACTAATCGTCCTTTCATTTCTTTCAATTCCAACCGATCTATGGATCTCTGGCTGTGCAGATCCCGAGAGCTTTGCCGCCGGACAAAGTGAGCAGTATTTGCCATTCTGGACTGAGGAACTAAACTGGACTAAGTGTGTCAGTGTGTCCTATATAATATATTGTCCTGATGGAATCATTTTGATCTAAAATAAATGCCCAAATTGCAATCGAAACAATAAACCGTAATTTGATTGATATCAGTTTGAAGAGCAACAACAATTGGAGGCTTGAAATAGAATGTGGCCTGCAAATTATTAAAATTTCACTTAAAGTTTTCAACTGATATAAATTTAACAAGCACCAGTATAAATGGACTTAAAAGGACGCCCAAGTTAATGGCCCTGCTGCATATGCAGTAGCTACTGCCCATTTTGTTTTAGACCCAACAGTAAATACGTTACAGAACATAGACTATAAATTTTATAAAAACCAGAAACTGCAGCCAGAATTTATGAAAGAAGGCTCGCATGCTAAATACTGTACAAAATAATAAACCCACTAAAGAGTTGCTGGAGATAACAGAAAAGAGCTCTTATAAAGATTGGTGGAAAGCACTTTTGTACCGAAAAAGGGGTTCAAATATAAGAACAATATACCAAACAGGAAATATTAACGAACGTGTGTTGAGGAGGAAAAAATACAACGCTCAAATACGCAAAATGAACGCTAGAAGACTAAATAGAATACCACGCCGGGATAACCTGAACGAAAACTAGAGAATACGTAGACGAAGAAAAAGCACATGTTTAATCTAAAGATGAAGAGGAACTGACTCATTTAATTTTTATAGAAAGGGTGCTCTATACAGGATGTGTGGTACAAGAACTGGCTCAAAAGAAATCTATCTGACACACTTCAGTAACAGCAATTATTCAGTTTCTTGATACAAAAACTATTTTCCAGAACTTTTCATTTGGTCGCTGGAATCTTAGCTAACTATTTTTACATTTTGATGCTCTGTAAAATTTTGTGGTTTTGATACTTTTTGCGCCAAAAAATTATTGCTGTTTTCTTGCTTGCTCTCTTGCTCTTAAGAGTTTCAGACACTAACTACAAATGTCGTAGTAAGCCATAATGTTTTTTTTATAACAAATTAACTGTGAGACGTTTTATAATTATTAACTGACCGATACGATCAGAGTGTTAGTTTTAAGCCGGTCGTCCATTGGAAGCGTTTTTGTCTGAATTGCGCTTAATTGGTAGGCGAAAACTTTTTTTTTCGCAATAACTATGAGTGTAACAATATTTTACAAAGAGCAAAAAAATGTCCAAAAAGCACTAGTGCATCAACCTAAACAAATCAGTTGAATCCAGCCACGAAATAAGAAGTTCTGATGCTTTTGTATCAAGATACTCAATAAATCACAACTTGCTCAAAGCGGATGAACTTGGTTCCATCATCAAAGTATGAATCTGATATAAGAATGAATTTTCAACGAGTTTCAATTTTCAATAAATTCCTTCGTATCATTCTCCTGATATTTCAACAAACATTATTTTGTTAAACTGCGTTGACGACCAACAGCAGAGGAGTCTGAGATTGGTCTTAATAAGAGTTAGAGCAGATCGTCTTCTCTTCAGCCAAAGAATGTACATTCTTTGATCCAGTACCCTTTAAATCCTGTACATACCGGACACCCTGTAGATTAGTATTATAATCCTATTCAGATTAAAAATTACATAAATCACAGTAACATTGGTACAATTCCAAACAGTGAACATTCAATCATTCATAATTGATCGTTGCAATGAATAATATACGTTTCATTTGATTTGTTTCGTGGACTCCACAACGGATTATTGGAAAACGTTCAAATGAGTTTGCTGATTATTTCGGTTCATTCGAACATTAAAGTATATGGGTAAGGCCCAACACCAATTGTGAAGGTTTGAACATATAAATTCGCGTTGCACAGTTCTTTATCGAAAATTGCAGTAAAAATTCTGTGATTTTCAGTTCTTCCTGCATGACCTCAGAATAAAACCACAAATCTGCCTCGATACTCGATAAAAAACTCTGGATTAGCGTCAATTCAAAAATAATTACGCAAAGACATTTTTGAGTCGTTTTATTAAATAATTAATGGTTCATAAAATATTTTGCAACCAATTCACTTAACAAAAATTGCATGATTTACGTACATTAGCGCTTCTAAATTGATGTGCCTGAAAATATAGATTCGCCTATACAAGTTTGGTGATTGAAACCCAGCGGATCGAATCCATCTAGAAATGGAAATTCACCGCAGTTTCAAAAAGTAATGTTGGTATAAATTGGTTAAATAATTACTTTGATGTTTCCTACAGCCACGAGTGGTTGTTCGTGGTTAGAAGCCTACGTTGTGGCCGTGTAGATTCGATCTAAAATTAGGATGGTGGCGGCATTGGAACAGCAATATATAACATTATTCTTACTTTTTGCAGCTGTTTATGGTAACATTGACCTTAATGTTGAGTCGCTGGAGATGCTATAAAATATAGTTGCATCTGAATTTTGAAATTTTGTGACTGAATAAAGCAATATAACATATTTGGTTTTTTGTGTATGCTACACATTACTCACAATGCGGGTCGAGCTTATATTTGTGGTCTTTCTTGAAAGTGTAAAGGTCCGAACCAGTCTGTTCATTCTAATAAGCAGGATAAAAATGAAATTTGTATACTTTATGTCACAGGTCAATTACTGAGAGCCGAATTGGATTCTCCATTATTTAATAATTAAAAGAACAATAGAAGTAATTTCTACGAATCTATTAACTCTGCACATTTTCCCCAAAACATTTGCTTCAACATGAAACTGTGGCATCAGATCGCAGATTTTTCTCATTCACCTCAAAGATGCATTTTTTGCGTATTCCACGTCACTATTTCCGTGAATTTTAATACCTTTTACACTACCAAAGTTTGAACTAAATATTGTTTTTTTCGAATTTTCGGTCTCAAAATGTAATCAACTCTAGTGCTCTTAGTTTATAAGTTTCTTGGGCCATTCTTGACTAGTACTTCTACTATTTTTAGTTGGATCCATTGGAACGATAATTTCAGGAGGTTACCAGTAAATTACTTTCTGTACAGTTGTTAATTGTTCTTTATTGATTTATTTGTATTCTCTAATTGAGTTAGTTACTACTGCGAGGATACACTAAACTGCGCCGCAAACTTATAGCTTAAATATTCCCTAATTTTTGACTGTGAATATTTTCTACGTCGGTGATCCGATTTGAACATTTTGTTTAAATCAAATTATTGCTCTATTTTTGGAGACAAATATAATTTTAGGAGAGGCCAAAATTAAATAAACATATTGAACAGTGTTCAAAAACTGTCATGTTTTCTTGGTCAATATTTGCATCTTTCTGCTAGCAATACAGAGTAGCCCAGAGAGAAAAAAGTATCGGATCTTTTTTAATAGTTTCTTTATCTGGAGCCATTCGAGCGAGTTAAATTCTTCAATAAAGGGAAAGCCTTTTAAAAAAAGATTTATTTTCAGAACGACGAGTTACAGCAATAGTGTACTTGTGACAACTGATAACTTATAACTGAACTTATGCTAAGATTGCAAGTGGTACTTATAAACTAAA